TTTACGTGTTGGTGGGAGAGCAAATGTCATCTGCGTATCGTTTAGCACATTCCTAACTTTAATGCTGGAGGAGAAAGAAAACAGTCAGATGCTGAAACACAGATGCCACTATGCCACTCATTGGTGTTACTACACAAAGCCTATAACCTAAAGCAAAGGATGAAGAGAGAAGAGGAATGAATCTCTTTTTGAGCTGCCAGATGGAGGTGGAAAGAGAGAGCAGGGAGTCGAAAAGACAAAGTAGGGCATCTTTTGAATGAAGTTGCTGTGTGTCACAATAATGACAGAAGACGGTACAGATATTGGTCTTATGGCCTTGGGATGAGGCTGTGTAATGCAATATGTGACTTTGCTGTGAAAACCGTGTACTTTGTGGTGTACTTCTCTGTGCTACCAACACACTAGCTAGTCAAGAATAAGAATCTTCAGATTCCTTTTCTTTCTTTTTTTTTTCTCTTTCCCTCTTTCTCCTCTCCTTTCTCCCTTTCCCCCCTTTCTCCCTTTCTCCCCTTCCTCTTTGTCTCTACTTCCTCTCTTTCCTTGCTTTCCCTCTCTCCATTCTTAGCTTCTTTTGTTTTCTGTGGTCTCCAAGAAATTCATGGTTGAACTAAAAATTTAACTATACCATGTGAATACTTTTTCAAATGCTAGCTATGTAAAATGGGCTTGGTAATCACAGACAGCCACTGCAGCTGCACCTGAAAATGACTGATTCAGAATAAGATAGTGTAATTATCTAGGGGGTTACACTGTGCAATCATCAACAGAGAAAAGTACGCACTGTTGCATAAGAGATTCCCTTCCCTGGCATGGTGTCTGTGCTTTCATAAGCAGAATCCTAGAATATATGGAGGATATTTTGAAGCAGAGAGGAGTCAAACAAAAGCTGAGGCTTTCCTGTGACCTAACTTCTTGTTGCCTGCTGCAAGGCACAGAAGGCCACAGGTACAGAACTGCCCTAACTACTGCTGAGAGCTGCCCACCTACCCATCCATCGCTTGTATTGTACCCAAACATCAAATTCATTTCCAGCCTTTGGGAATTTAAAGTGGAAGTACAACTAAAGGAGTGCAGAGCATCCCCGACTCTGCAGAGGAAAGGTCCATGACAACTGTTCACACAACTGTATTGCTAGGGCAAAATGGGCATAATTTTCACCATGCAAAATAAATAGTACTATTTTTTAGATCTTAACTCACATGTCTGGTTTACAGCCAGTGATTCCAGTCAGTACCAGTTCTATGCCTGATGCACGTGTAAAGTTTTCTCCTTTGACTGTTATTTCACTTTTGCCTAATGTAGAAATCCACAAAGGTTCAATGGAATGAATGCTGATATGCTATTAGAAAACAAAGCAAAACAAAATCTGGTTATCAAAAGGCTAGGCAGTTAAAAAACAGCTGCAAAACCAACCACCACTCAGGAATGTGGGTTTTACAGCACTGGGATACATTTTTCTTATTAATTTCGAATCTTGTTAAGCTTGATCCTGAGAGGTACTGTCAATCACAACTTATATGCAAACCAACTATTTTTATCTCCGTATTTTATATTTCAATTTATCTTATAACAAAGTTGCCCGAAGGAATCACAATGTGACATACTGGAAGGCAAGTATCATAAAAACCCAGCTTGAAACAATGCGGTTTGTGTGACCGTTGAAGAACTAAGAAACAACGCAAGACAAAACCCATGGTGCTGTCACTAGGAGAGATCAGAGAAACAAATGAAGGCATCTCTCAAGACCTGAAAAGGGGAAGAAGGGTCAAATCCTAGAACGGAAAGTCGAGAAAGAGCCCTAGAATTAGCTTTACTAGAAAGTTTTTTCAAATTCATACACAGAGCTAAAGGTACAACATGACTGTGGGGATTTTTTGGTATCTATTTTGAAGCTAAGAGGTTTACAAATCTATTTTCCTGCATTTAAGAATAGTCATGGTTTGCTCTGATGCTGTCACAGTCTTGCAGAAATGTGGCCAATTTTAAAAATGTGCTTTTCTTTTTGTACCTTTATATTTACTTATTCTAACTTACTAACACTACCAAGCAAGAAGAAAGATTTTTTTTCCCTAGTGTATTTACTTGATACATTTGACAGCATCTCATGTTTAATCAGTTTTGCTGCTTCCCCAGTTTTTTAATCACACAGACTGCTTCCTCTCTCTGCATCTTTCAGACAACAAACTGAAAACATTCAAAAAACCAGGAAAATACACGTGTGAAACCACAAACTGTTTGGGACCTTGTCAGGCAAACGATTTCTAGCTTGCTTTTAAGACTGCCTATAAAACTAGTTTAAAATGAGTTTTTATAGTATCCTGATTTCTGCTGTTCACCTGTGGACACATTCAGTGAGCAGTTCAGCCTTCCCAACCCTGAGAAAGGCGCTGCTGCAAATTTCTTGGAAAGTCCTTCCCACAGGGCTTTTCTCCCCACTCATCTTTTCATGTACCCGGAGCAGCACCCAGCCTTTGGGCCGGCAGCCAGAAGGGACCACCGAGGTCACGTTGCCATCCATTGCAAACACAGCGTTTGCTCATTTCAGAAAGGTCCCTGGCACATTGTCTCCTGGTGCTACCATGGCCTCCTGACACCGGAGAGCTGCGGACCAAATGTGAGACCTGTCACAACTGATTGAAAGCCGCAACTTGTGCCTTAGGAAACGGCAAGAGAGTGCAAAGGCTGGGGGCAGAGGGCCTGCAGAAGGGCCTCCAAGATGACCTCTGGTATGGATAATGGAGGAGGGCAAAGGAAACCCTTGACAAACAGCCTGAGGGGGAAAATTCTCTCCCACTCTGACCAGGGATCTGTTTAACCCTTAGTAAGCAAGCAGGACAGCTGAAGCAGAAATCTGAGAGATTAAAGCCAGCGAAGCACCAGTGCTTTTCTCCATCCACATCCCATCCCTCTGCTTGTGCCTAGCCTCCAGCAAACCAAGGACAGTCAATATCCTCACACAAATCCAGAAGCAGAAGCCAAATACTACAGAAAGGAGTAAAACACTGCTCAGGGGCTCTCCCTGGTAACCCACAGGGAGCCCTGAAGCACAGAAATAACATGGTATCACACAAACACACGGAGATCCCCCTCGGATGCACCGGGGCTGAGAGCTGCGGCGAGGGGAATGCCAGCCGTCCCCTGCCCAGGGTGCTCCTGTCCTCCCGTCGGTCTCTCCACCAGGCACCACGGGGCCATGCAGCTTAGCTTGCCTTGTTTCTTTCCTTACACCAAGAAGAAATTGCTGGAAGAATGGTTCACCATGGAAGTTTCAGACTCCCCCAAAATCATGCCTTCCCTGCGGCCACACAACACAGGCTCCCCCCCCATCTGCCATGGCGCTGGGGCGAGCTGGCCTCGGCTACTGAGGAGCCTGCTTCCTGGCTTGGCTGCTGCTCTCCACCGCATCTTCCTCAGCAGCAACAGAAACCATCAATTTCCTCATGAGTGCAGGAGGGACCAAGTGTCCTCGCTGGGGTCTGCGGTGCTTGTTCCTCCAGCACCAGAGAGCTGCTGACCTTCCCGTTGCTGCGTGGCAGGGGGAGAGACGCCCGGCAGCAAGAGGGAAGGGAGACAGCGGAGAGGCTGCAGGGTACTCATAAAAATCACGAGTTGTGAGGCATGCGATGAAAGCAGCAAAAGCACGCAGAGACATGCAGCAAGCATGCGCCAGGTCCTCACGTAATGTAAATCAGCACAGCCCTGTCAACTTCAATCGAGCTCCACATTTCTGAGCTGCAGCCCCCCATCCCCTGGACAGCCCAACACTTCCCGGGGGCCGTGTAAACAGTGGCAGCCACATCCTCAGAGGTGTGGTTAGCAGGGCTGCAGGTCACAGCGAGATATCTGGCAGCCACCCAGGTTAAGCAGCCTCTGCCACCCCGGGGAGCTCATCCCTGCTCTGGCACAGCCTCTCCTATGGTGCTAGCACGGGGCTCCAGGGCCACACAAAGAACTGGATTGGGGAACTGGCCCAGATGAAAAACAACCTGCCGAAAGAAAACGGTTATTTCCAGCCAACTCCGTTCCCCAGCCAAGCATACTCGCACAACCACTCCAACTGCTGCTCTGGCGCAGGGAGGGGGAAAGTGCCTGCATGGAAACCAGCAGCTGGAGTCAGGAGGAGGGCTGGGGCCGCCACTGAAAAAAAAGTGTATTAATCTAAATGCTCGGCTGGGGTTGTGGGAAAACACAAATCCTCTTTCTGAGCCCTCCAATAAGTTTTCCTTAAAGCACAAGCAAAGGAGAGCAGGATTTCAAATGCAATTTCAAGCCCTCTGAATGGATCAATCACTTCTAAATAAACATCTGCCTTTGGACTGCCTCTAGTGCTTTCACTGCCTTGTCCATCACTGTCTTTCCAAGATAAGGCATGTGGAAGAAAGCCATCTCCCAGGCAATTCCAACTATTTACCAATGTCAAATTAATGCACTTGGAAGCAGAGCAAAGAAGAATTTCCTCTGTTCTTTCACCAGCCATAATGCTTTATATGCAGACAAAATCCAGAATATTAATGCCCAGAAGCATAAGTATTACAATCCCACTCGTCTCTGTGAAAAACAAAATGGTTTTGTGATTTTGTTTAAGAAACCTCAGCTGAATAGCTGAATTTAAGAGGTAATTCCTGTCTTCACAGGTAAAAGTTCGGGTAGTTCTAACGAAACATTCAGAGATAAGGACACAGTTGCTATTTATACCAACCGTGCTATCACTCACAGAAAAGCAGAAACCAAAAAGTGTAGGCAGCAAATCTCTAATGTACTTACTCATCAGTCAAATTTCTCTTCACTACTCATTTCTTTCCTAACACCTGCATGTCATAAGCAACCACTGATGACAAGATTGCTCAGTTTTATGAAAAAATAAAACCATTTTGGCACCAGAAAGAAAGAAGGGATAACCTCGTGGTTAAAAGGCTGGCCTACGAGGCAAATCGTATAGTCCATACGCTCACATACAGTCTATATGATTTCAATAGAGAACTCAACAATCAGATTCAGAAGGTACTTCAGTGCCAGTGACACTTGTTCCTTTCCAGTGATCCAGCTTGAGCAGGACAGATAGAGAGTAGCTCTGTCTCCAGTTTTATCTAGAGCTTGGAAGCAAGGAAAATTTTTCTGGAAGTGTGAACCAAGGATTTACTAACATCCAGAGATTTCAGTTCCCAGATGCCTCCTCTAGCCACTTGTCTGTTATGCAGAAATTGGGTGGCACATCCTCCCTCTCCTTCTGCTCCCCTGGCAGTTATGTTTCAGGAGAAGCTGTGATCTGGCTGCATAAAATGAGGAAGAGGTTTGAGACTCTGAAACCTAGTTTCACAGAGTTGTCTGTGACAGCAGAACTTAAACATGCATTTAGGTAAGAGATTAAATCCGAGATGTTCTCTTCTGGTTTTTTTTTTTCTGTTTGTCAGCTTACACGTCCCAGCCCTGAGCACACTGGCTCCTGTGGAGTGTTTAAATATAGCATACAGGGGCTTTGGCATTTGAAGCAATACTTTAAAATCTGCATCTAGAGGTAGGCACATGATTACTGCAGTGTTCACTGTCTCAGTGCCTGGATCTGAAATGCAAGTCTTTCTTCATACCTTTAAGCACCAACAAAGCACTAAGAAAAAATAGTATCAATCCAAGTTCTGCATTGCCTTTCTATGTAACCAACTGACTACCTCCCCATCCATATTTCTATTCTTCCTGCAAAGTCCTCTCGTTTCACATAAATTTATCCCCCAACCTGCAAAACCCCAATAATGCCAATCTTAAAATGCTAACTAACCTCTGTTTTCTGCGCAGTGGTGATCCCATTGGAAGCAGTCGCATTACAACTATCCTGAAAAAAATCAGCATTTCTCCATGTCAGGACAAGGAAGAGACAGATTGCTGATCAGATGTAAAAAATACAAGGAGAAGGCATCACAGAGGATTCTGGCCCTCTCCAACAAACTTCACCTGGCAGGTGGTGGCAGAAGAGGCACGCATCCATTTACAGCCGGCACAATCACCCTTGTGTATACACCGTGAGCAGCTGGTAACACAGAAAACAGAATTTTTGTAAAACACAGGGACTGAATCTCGATTCAGCCATGAATGTGAAATTTCAAGTGACAGAAAAAAGCACAATGCCAAGAGAATAACCTGGTAAACATGTAATGGAATGTGTAAAACACATAACCTGCGTTTACTCTCCAAGCCTATTGTTCTGAGAACAAATTTAGTATGGAATATAATCTGTGCTGAGATGCTGAGAGTCATACATTTCAAAAAACACAAAGCAGACGGAACACTTTGGGTTTCATTTTGCTGTGGTTTTCTCCAGTACGTAAGTGGCCAGATAGTACTTTTTTACCGAAAAAGGGCAGAAAACCATCACTGATTCTTTCACAGCTTGCCTGAACTTCTGTTCTGTGTGTGTGGTGCTAGCAAATGTTGCTAGTTTGCTATTGCCTTCCCCTATCAACAAACATGCCCAAAAAAGTTTGTCCCTATCTTGCTTTGCAATGTATCTATTGGAGGAGAGCCAAGAGCAGCACAGGCCCTCTCCAAGTATGCTGAAAAATGCTCTGATACAGAGAAAGACAGCTCCTTCCCTGTCTTGCTCCAGGGACAGGGAAGTGATGTGCCATTTCCCAAAAAGCCAGAGTTCAATTTCATCCCAGGTGCCTATGAATCAGGCTCTTATAGGGAAGGAGCACTCTGAACAGGAACACTGTAGTTACCTGCAGCATACGTTAGCCAGATCTTTCTAAGTTTTAACAACCACGTATGATAAGGGTTAGGCCATGTACTGGGCACAAATGTTTTCTACTGCTAGTTCTCAACAAAGAGTGTGGCTCTGAAAAATAAGATGTACAGAACAATAGGTATTCATTATTCCTATTAGCAGATTAGATGTTACTTTCTGGTTTAATTGCATTCACGTTACCCGGACCACATTTAAATTGCATCCAGCTCAAATGAAAAACAGCTCCACAAAGTGACTTCTACAGAATCTCTTGACTCCTCTGATCTAGGTCTTATCCTGAGTACCAGGAGCCCACCTTTTTCACAAGGACAAAAAGGATTTTAATGTCATTGTGACATCCTTTATTATCTCTTCAGGCACTTACTTGTCATAAATTCAGTCATTGTAATGACTCTCCTACAGCTAGCTGCCAGGGTCCCATGAAATAAAAGAGTTAATCAGAAGAAGTAGCTTTCTAAGGTCAACAAAAAAAGAGGAGAAGGAGGAAAACGGCCAAGAAAAGGGATTTGACTATCTTTAGTGAAATGTATTTCCTTAAAAAATAATAATAAAAAATGATTATATTTCAGCCCCCTCCCCACACATAAACACATAAATCCCTCAATAAACTTCAACAGGAACCAGGCGCTTACTTGTTCAACCAAAATGTTTGTGTGATATTCCAAGAGCTTGAGGACAGTGATGCTTCAAGAACTAGACAATCTGGAAAAATGTGACTGTTAGACATATGCTGGATATTACAAGAAATAACTGGAAAAAAAAAATGAGTTGAAAGCTCACATGCCTTCAGCAGTTCACTATACGGTATGCACCCTCTAATACACACATTCGCTCACACTTTTGATTGATAAATATAACTAGATTTTGTCTTTCCATAACACCCTTCAGCTGAGTTATTCCAAGAATTTACACACACTCATTAATTAAGCTTGATGCCACCACTGCATGACATACAAGTGATGTTATTGTCAGGATACAGATATGGAAATGCTACCATGGAGCAGGGACATGAAATCATCTCCTGAAGAGCACACAGTGGTATACTGTGGCATAGCCAGACCCGGAATTCAAGCCTTCTAACACAACAGGCTGGTCGAATGGAAGAGACCCCAACATACCGTACTTCTCTCTCTTTCTGTCTCAGAGACTTGGTTTCAGAGTCTTCTTTTGTAATCTACGCAGTAGCAATTTTCATCCTATTTAAATCTTTTATGATTGCATGAGTCAATTTGCCATTATTTCAGCTTGCAATTACTATACCGACAATTCACTGGCAGCTGTGGAATGAAAGAGTATCTTCTCCCATGAGCAGAATACCACATCGAAAAGCAGAGTTAGATATATACCACTTAAGCCATGGACCCTTTCATCTGTGTGCCTGCAGATGTGTACGTCTGTGAAATGAATGACTGTCTGAGATCAAATGAAACCCATGTGTGCAGACTCCTCTGGCTTCTCTATGCTAAGAAGCAGATGGCTTTTTAATCCAGGAAAGTTACACAGATTTAAAGTATAACTACCTTGCAAAGGTAGAGAAAGCTTTGTCTTTATCACAGGCTGGCTTGTTCTGATGAAATCCAGCTTTGGCTACATCTACATTGTTAAATCAGAAGTATCTCCTGCTCCACACATCAGCGTGGCACTTGGGTGATCACTGTAAAGGTCACCTGCACTGCTTGTTAAAAACAGCCGTTGAGACCGGTCATGCTTAAACACCTTACTAAACGGAGAGCAAAGATTTTGATTTTTAAAGGTATTTTAATGCTTGAAGATGTGGATGAGCACACATAGAAACTCTGAAATCCTTCACTAAGCACCTATTTACAACTCTAGAAATCTATGTATCTGCAGAAAGCTGACATGTTGGGCACAAAATTGCCTAAATCACTTGCCTAGGTCAGTATATAAGAAGGGTCTCAAGCTATGAGCTACTGAAAAGCAGTATTTTACTAGAAGTCATAAATAAAAGTAAGGAATTTATCTGCTTCTGGCAGAGCTTGTCTTCTCTTCTAAGTTTGTATAAATACTTTAAGAACAACACTGTCAAATATGGTTGCCTGATTTTGTCTGTGTTGAAATTAATGGAACCTATTACTTTCTGTATGGCCTGGACTGACCTTTCAAAATGCACCAGACTGCACTGAGTAGCAGGTATTTTCAAAATGTTTTTTTCCAGAAATGATATCTGAAGGAGTTTTGCAAGTGCATCTTCTTCTGAGACTGAGGTCACTTTACACGAGGTTCCGTAAACAGTCAGCATCACTTTCACACCTCCATTATCCACCAATACGTCTCAGCTCAGCTCGTAAGAGCACTTAAATGGCAGCAACGCTGCCAGACACAAGGTAAGCTCACAGCCTTCTGGTTAACACTGTCAAAGGGCTCATTTTTGGCACAAAGCACAGGCAAGGCGAGCTAGCTTCCCTAACACTATACTCTGAAAACTTGCCAATGGAGTAAGAGAAAGCCTTAGTCTGAGAAGACAGAAACAAACCAAATAATTATAAGAAATTATGGCTTTTGGGACTGGGTCAATAAAGGACATTTTTTTCTTCTCTAATGCATTTGTCCCTCTTAAAAATCCATTAATAGTGTTTACTAAAGACAGCTTAATAGACTAGAATACTCATGGATATAACCCTAGCTGTCACTTGCTAGTGACAAAGTCTTTTCTTCTCAATTCCCAAATCAATATTGGACAGGAACTTCACACAACACTCATATGATGTCAGAGGAGCTTTTCCCATACCAAGGCCATAGGATGAGCTCCTGAGCTCCTAATATTCCACGGAATCTCCTTCAGGAGCAAAGGTCCCTGAGACAGAGAGCTCTTTGCAGCACTGAGCTCTTCAGAACAACAGGTCTTTGTAAATTCTGGTTAATGTGTCATTCCTCTTTCTACACAAAGGTATCATAAGAGAGTCAGATTCATGCAGAGTATTACATGCCTTTTGAGCTGTATTATCTAGAAAAAGATAAAGGCACACATTTATCTGAATTTTATGTTTCCTCTTCAAGTCACTGAAGAGCACATGGCATCCTTGAGCTTGCTATCTTTGTCCCTCAGTTTAGATTTAAACTCTCTTTTGTATTTTAACATGAGCAACTTAAAAAAGGTAGAAGGTCAACTTGTATTAAAAAAGCTTTGTGCTTCTATACAGACCCTTGAAGCAATGCAAGAGGGACGTCTTCCTCCTATTAGTCAAATAAGACTCTGCTGTGAAGTATTATCACCCGATCTTTGAGACCAAAGCCTAGAGAACAGCTCAAAAGTCTAGACATTCAGTAATTTATCACCTTGTTCTAAAACTTGTAGTCGCCCATAAGATGCACAAAACAGATAATATGCATCATACAACCAATACAAATGGCTCAGGTCTCTAATTCTGAGAACTACTGTTGAACAAAGTAGTGTAAGAACTATTGCAAAATAATTCAACCAGTAATTCAGAAAGATGAATGAAATCAAATTGCCCTGAACCATGTATTTTTCTGCTAATCCTCTACATGAGAAAACCACTCTCTCTTGAGTGTCTAAGTTAGGTTGAAACAGTTAACTGAATGTTAAGGTTATTTATCGTACAGACACTTATAATCAGATTCTCCTCTTCTTTATGCTAGTACAGTTTCTTGCAAAAACAAATTCTGTCTGCAGATAAGAGAAGCATTAAGACGAGTTAATTTGTCAAGGCAGAGCACTGGACCAACACTGCTTCCATAGCTCCAGCCAGCCTGGCTGCCATCGCAGCTATCTTAAGTTTCCTTAGACAGCGAGTAACAGCACCATGTAAATATACTCCTAATGCTGTAAGACTGCACTGCTACAGGCTGAACTGAAGAAACTGCTTCTAGTCATACGTTAACATCTTTTATTACTTCTGGAAAGGATTCCATACTAACAAATCTTTAATTATGAAGAACAGTGTGAGTATACTCAAAACATTTGACAAAAAAGGAATTTTTTTTTTCAATGACTTTTAATAAAAAGCATTACCTACTCTCACACTCATTAGGCCTGTATTTATGCTCAGTTCTCCTCAGTAATAAAGGACAGTGAGTAAGTATTGAATACACATAATAGTAAAACGTACCATTATCAGTTATCACCAGAGTGGTAAGACTGCAGAAACAGTCTGAGTTTTTCAGCACTACATTTTCATAAAGTATTTCAACAGGTTTCACAATTTTTATCTTACAGGAAGTAAGGATCTTGCTTACGCTTGCCGCCACAGCAACCTGCAAAACAATAAAAACAAGAATACAACAGATTTCTTGCAATACCTGTTATCACCTTGTCTTTACAGAAAACTACAAACTACGAAATGTACAAAATGAAAATTTTTGTGGTGGAAGCAGATAATTCACTAGGTAGCCTCTCAAAGGAGAGGGCCTCTCCCAACTGAAGAAGCAATACAAAGAGTTCTGAAAGGAACAGCATTGCTTACTTTCAAAAATTAAATGGATCTGTAAGGTATATGAGGTGAGCAATCTGGAATAATTTTGGATCTTAAAACAACCATTTTGCTATAATAGTGCTACATGCTGTTACATTTGCTTAAAAACATTTGAGCAAGAATGTACAAATCCTCACAGAGAGACGACGTTTGCATCCATAACCAAAGTGCACTTAATTATGAAACAGAATTTGTCTTGTAATGAATTATCCTTTGTTTCTGGCTGAGAGCGCTTTACAAATATGATCACATTAGTGCATTCAATCAGGAAACCAGAAACAATAGCATGCAGATTAAGTGGCCAGTCACAATCCTTGATAATCAAATGCTCAAGGCTGTGTGTACTGTGAACAGATACCACGTAAATACTAATATCGAGCACTCACAGACGCATTTGTGCTAGCATATGTGTCTCAGTGAATGTTTTGTAACTTGTTACAAAGCTCAGAGCTTACATAATGCACTTGATAAATAGTCACTGAAAATATTAGAATAGCTGATAAACTGATATAACGGAAATGTTGCCTTTGTCAGCATGGTGATTTTTTGATTCAACATCACGAAGTATAGCTTCAGGATACATTTTATAGGAGAGGAAAAGAACATCTATCTGATCGACACATTCAACTTACTGGGATTTCTAATACATTTGCCAATTGTTGAGATAAGAGAGACTAATATACGGAACATGGTGACAAAAGAAGGGAAGCTTCAATGAGCGACAAAATGACACATTTTAAGTCACAATAAAGAAAGATGCATAAAACTGGGTGTACATACCTGATTTATGGCAGGGAAATGTAGCCGGATTTTCAGATCTTTCTCAGGTGCATGCGAAATGTTATACCAACCCTTTATGCTGTTTGAACGTGTACAATTTTCTTTTAATGTGCACCTAAAAGAATACAAAAAATTATACCAGCCTCCTTATGATGGCTTTGACTTCAGACATTGTACTTCAACTTATTTAAGGTTATCGATTTTTTACAGGAATACCACTACAACTACAAAAAGCATCAGGAAAACAATCAGTAAAATCTTCTGCTTATCAAAACAAATTACAATGCATTGACCTATGCTCTAGGGTCTATTTGCTCAAGCAAATATTAAATGCCTGTTCAGTAACAGTGGAGTTGGTAGCCTGGGATGGAATTCATCACCCTCAACTTTTGATTGCTCCATTGTACAGCTCTAGATCTGATCCCTCAGTTCCCTCTACACTCAATGGGCAGAAATATGCTCTTTCAGGGTGCAATTCCCCTAACCTATTTTAGTCGTTCATACAGAAATTAAATTAATCACACTACAGAAGCTTCTCCTTCTCTCCAAAGAGTACAAGAGGACATGGGGTTGAAGCTCAGATGTAGAGCTGTTATGAATGTGTACAGCTGATGAGATGCATCCTCCTTCCTAATTTCCTTTGTTGTCTACTGATGTGAATGGTAATTTTCCCTTTTATCTCAGTGCACTTGGTTAAAAATACTGGGTTTGAAAAGGTAGTTCAAAATAGCTTTCTCTGTCTTGAAAAATAAAATCCATTTCAGAAGTAGGATGGCACAAAGTAAATAAAGATGTTACAGATGCCAAATTGTAGGAAATAAAAACTATACAACAGAAAATTAAGGAAGAATGAGGAAACACTGGGATATACAAGTACTACAAGGATTATATGTATTAAAAACATGATAAAAAAAAGAACATAGGCATACAAATTAGATGGACAATCACTGAATTTGAAAGGTGAATCTTTAAAATACTGGCTGCTGTGAACAGTTAAAGAACAATCCATAGATTAACTCCAAGCAATTTCATACAGCTAGCAACTAAAGACGAGTAAGTGCTATCCGCATATATCTTATTTTCAGATTGAATATTTATAAATAAATGTAACATTTAATAGTTTTGATATTCCTGCTTTTCTATCAAACGTAGAAGAATGTGTAGCTTCAATCATGTGATCAGTGACGTGCCTTAATGAACTAATCCTTTGCTAAAAACTAGAAATGAGTACCTATTTGCAAAGCATGAGCTTTTTTCATTAGGAGTTCACTGTAAAAATGTTTTTCTCAAACAATGTGTTTTTTCTCTAGAAGGAATAACACAAGAATGACTTTCAAGAAAAATATCCACCACTTTCCAACACGCCGAAACAACTCCACAAACCATAGAAACCATAATGCCATCTTCTCTGCAGATCAAGATGTTGGCAACTGGAATGCAGTTAAGCACAAGGTCACTTCCTTTGTGGTCTAACTCAGGAAACTGAGTTCCTGCTGCACAAGAACCTGCTGGGGCTTTGCATCTGAATACATTCAGATCATAACTATACTGTAAGAAATTGGGACTATGCCTGGGCATATTTCAAACTGTCTTAACTAGGACAAATTTCAGCCTCATTTATATCTCTCTTCACCTTAACCTGAGATCACAAAGGTCCATTAGCACCAGTTTTAGAACCACAGAGGACAGGATCTGTCATCAACAGATGTGTATAAACCAGATGCTTGGACACGTACAGGTGGACAACTGTCACTGGCAATGATGCGTGGGAGAGAGACATCCTATAGCTTCTGGCAGGCTGAGGATCATAATGTTGAAGATGCAAGGCAACACACTTGCAATACTTGGCACTAAATAAGTGTATGCATTTCAGTGACACTAACATTAAAATATTTAAAAAGAAAACTGTTTATAAAGCTGAATATTTAAAACTGTTCTAGGACAAAGTTATTTGCCTTCTTAGACTGCCTGAGGAACACAAGCAGTGAACCAGCTTCCCTCATCTACAATGCAGAATCTAGGAGTTTACTGGCGAAAAAAGTAATGCCATCCAGAACCCAGGGCTGTGCTTGTCTTCATGCCAGGAAAAACACATCTTCTGTTGCGCTAAAAGCTGACCTTTAACACTCAAACAATGTGCTACAGTGAATGGTAATTTTGTAGGAAGCAGCTACAAGGTGTGAAGTAGAGCATCTGATGCCCCTCAGCATAAATTCTCACAATTGCCCTGCACAGGCCAAGAGCAACATGAATTCCACTCGCCTAAAGATGAGATTATTTTGTTATTTTGTTATATTTTTGGACAATTGATATTGCTTGCAAGCACACTGGAATGAATATAACAGATAAATATTATTTACGAACTACATGGTTCTGAAAATTAACATATGAACTCAGACATCTACTAAGAAAGCAAAAAATATCAACAATGCAAAAGTAGCTGAAAGTTTCTGGAGTCTGGCTTCCTTGGAAAGGTGGACTGAACTGGACCCTATAAAAGTACAAAGGTATAAGGTATGAAACCCTAGGATCAGATTTCAGACATGCATAGATACGTGTACAGAGAAAAGCAGAGTCAAGACTTTTTTTTAATCTTTCACAGCAAGCTGGTTCTTTATGGTGCTAAAGATTCTTCTTCACAATTGGAAACAAATTTCTCTTATTTCATTATGGCAAGACGATATCTATGCATATCGGCTCATTCATATTTACTTAAATCTCTGCTTCACTAATCTTGTATTAGCTACAGATTCTACTGAGTTTGCCCTCTCTGCCTTGCTAAAGCATACTGATTTCCTTGTGAAATGAGAACATGGTTTCAGAGAAAGTTTTGGCTTCCTTTTCCAAAGTACCAGCCCTTGAGTGAAGTCCATAGATGTCACAAACACTGACCAAACTCAAAAGTAAGTCTGGTCATGTCAGATAACTAAGACATATGGTGTTATTTCTATATGGAAAATACACATAAAACATCAGTGCCTTGTACTGGAATAATTTCAGCATACTTCAGGTAAATCTGATTCATCTATAGAAAATCTATGAACATTAAGAGAAATCACACAATGCTATGACTAATCGTTTTGAATGATTGTAAGTGAAAAGGAGAATTTATATATTTGCCCTATGGAAGAAAGAGCAGAAACAGGAACAGTAGAAACATTTTGTTTCATTTAGTTTGCACTTACAATAAGATGTGTAGATTTTTTCATCAAAATACTGAACTTGAGTTCACACTGTCTTTAAAATGAAGTTGCTGTTAAGTTTTATTTTAAAAATGGAGTGCATATTTAATATAAAATTTATTTCTAAGTAAGAGTCTAAAACATACGATCCATCTCAAAATTATTATGGAATATATTGCCTTAGCGGACATGTATGGACTTTGATTAAGACACTGGCTAAAAACATGTCTTCCTCTTCTTCTAAAGCTTCACTTCAGAGCTCTCTCTGAAGTTAAATACACAAACCCAAGTATTTAATGATGCTAAGTGCTTAACAGTGAAAAATTAATGTGAGTGTTGTATGAGATTCACATTATAGTAATTCATTTTTTCTCCAAAAGAGTAAATTATTTCCGTTTCAACGAAATGGAAACTTTTGGTGATTCCCCTCATAAACAAGGGATTTACTGACTAATAACTGTTATTCACAATCTCTTTATAAGGTAACTAAAAGCCTGTAAAGCTTAGCACTGTAACATATAGAGTTTCTAACAAGGTAGCAAATGAGAGTTTGAAGAAAACATTACAGAACAAACACCTACTCTCTTCTAATAACTACCTTTGCAAACACAAAGTAGCAGGTCTTCAGTAAATTCATGTTAACATTGAAACAAACTAAACTGGGTAGTATCAACCTCCTAAAAGAACACTAGTGGAATTCCTCAAAAATCAATCTTATAACCACTTTTGTTTAATGTTTTAATCACTGATGAACTGGCATAAAAAAAGGTTTACACTGTCAACATCTAATGATGATACAAAGTTGGGAACATTACCATGCAGGGGAGGATGAGAATATCAAACAGAAAAACTTGGATAACCTTGAAATGGGATGACATTTCAAAGCATAAAGTACAAGAATATGTACCTAGAGCAATAAAAATCTCACAACCCATATGTGCCATAGACCGGAAACTCATCAGTTGGAAAGAAAACAAAGAAAGAGAAGGACCTGGGGGCATTATTTGATCACGGATGATTGTGGCCCATCAATGTGATGCAGTCACGAAAAAGACGTTTGTGATCCCAGAACACACCAAGGAAGGTGCTTCCTGGACAGCCTGACTAAAAGCCATTGAGCAAGGCACAGCTGAAATCTCTTCTGGAATACTGTGACAGTCCTGGGTATCCTTATTTTAGAAGGATGCATAAACTTCCCAGAAGGGCTACTGGAGTGGAGTTAAGAAAGGAGTGTCTTATGTGAGAGGATCTTAGTGAAGTTAGCTGTCGTAGTGCAGCAAAATGGAAGTGAAAAAAGAGACCGCTTTCACAAAAACATTGAGGAGGTAAGTGTGAGGGAGGGGGAAAACCTATTTAAGACAAGGCAACGTGAGCCCCAAAACAAATGAATATAACCTGTCCACGAACACACACGTGATGAAAATAAGCAGACAGATTTTAACCAGCAGAACAACGAGACTCAGATAGTCACATAACCAAGGCAGGGAGGACAACATGCCTATCTAAATTTAGGACGGTCCTTGAGTAGTTTATGAGTAGGTTCACATGATGAGGTTGCTTGCAATTGCCAAGGCTAGGCTTGATGACCCAGGAATTTTTCCAGTCCAGGCCAAAGATGCACAATAGCTTTCAAAGCTACTTCAAAGAAAGCAGCAAAACTAACAAATCAAATGCGAAGATGAAGTGTTCAGAAAAGAAAGTCTCCTCTGGCCTAAACCAAAGGCAGTGATTCCAAAACAAGGAATTATGAATACTGAAGGCACCTGAGCACCCTTTCCCTGTTCTCACATGCAAGATGCTTCTAGCTATTAAGATGCTTCAAGCACACGTATACAATTCTATCTCTCTATCAATTTGGAAACTAAAACCACCTGTTCTAAACCCAAAATAATTTATTCTTTTTAGCCCAACATGTACTTTCTGGATAAATCTCAAAAATCTGAGGGTTAAAGGGCTCTGCACTTTAAAAGGTTGGGCTAAAAAGGGTGCAGAGCTTTAAATCACTTTAAAAGGTGCAGAGCTCCCTTTCACATGACAATAAAGTGTTTTGCATTTATGGCTGTGACTGATTCCATAAAAATTCAGTAGATGTAATCTTGATACTGAGTAGTCCCAAGCCGGTCAAAATGTACACTGGCTAACAACGTATTGCTTTTATATGAAAGTCTAAAATACAAAAAAATACCTTTGATTGAAAGAACACCACCCACAGTAGGGATCCTTTGCAGACAGACATTCTTGCTCCGAAACGTATCTACCACAATTGGCAACTGGTATTCTTCTCACCTAAAACCAAAGAATGCAATAACAAACTGAATTAAAATAGCCTCTATAAACAGGGAAATTGAAGGTTAGCATTAAAAATCTGACAGCAACCAAGCACAATCCCTTCGGGAAAGTTTCCTTATGGACTCCCCTCTGCCAGAGGACCTTTGGATAGAAATATGCAGCCTATTTTACACACACTGTATTTTACCATCAGATGATGAAACTCTTCTGACAATGACAAGGCCAGCATGGACAAAGTAATGCAGGAAAAACTAATCAGCATAGTGAATTATATGTAACAACAGAAAGGAGGTATTATTTTACAAATAATGTTCTGCTTAGCAGAACATCATTTTCCTCTCATCATAACTGAGATTTTTAAAAGATTAATGAAGGTGCATCCAAAAATGCATGCGCAAAACAAAATGCAGCTGTGTTTGCATCACCATGTCAGGTAACTGCATGTGCACACTAGAACAAATGCATGCAACTACTTAGCATGCATGAAAATGCCATTTCAATAACGTAGATAATTGTGGCTAGATTGTATGTAGCTATACTTGTACATTCAGCTCGAATATCCTAGCCAGCCATTTTCAGAAAAGGAAAGGAAAAAGAAAAAGAGAAAGCTGATTACAAACACTGAATACGAATACAAATAATGTTATTAATAACACTGTTAATTAATAATATTAGTAAGAAAAATATTCCTAATTCAAACTATTTTTTTTACAAATTTGCAAGAACTAAAAGTTCCTGTATTTTATGAACATGACATAAGGCTTTTTGCAGAACTATATTTACTGGTTTTTTCAGCCATATCTCATAAAATTCAATTTATCTGAAGGTGTAAAAGATAATCATTTCAGAAACCAGCCAATGTCATAGACTACTAGGAAGTTAAAAAAGACAGTGTAGAAGACTTGTTTAAGCTCCATGAGATGATCAGAGAGATCATCAACAGCTTTTTATCCCTAAAAGCTGTTGTTCCTCTATAACAACTTGCTCTTTTACCACAGCTAAAGAAAATTCAACATTTTACTTTGAATATCTACATATATTTTTGATTGAAATTTCGATCCCTTCTGTATTTGTGATAGACAGTTTTTATCAGTCAGGAGCTCTCCTTTCAACTTACCCACTCTCCCAGACAGCAGGCTAAAACACTATGTTCATTGCAGGAAAAGTGATTTTATTGTAAATGAAAGTAATCAAGTGCTGGGTGAAATCTTGTCCAGGTAAGAGGGACAGCTAGCCCTTAGTTTTCACTGCCACCTTCCCTGCTGCTGGTGAGACAAAGGAATTTGCTGAGTTGATGCTCAGTAGCCCTTCTGCAGCATGTGCTGCAGCAAGTGCACCGGCTCCCGGGGGCTGAGATGCAGCCCCGACGTGTTTGCTCACACACAGTAGCTCCCAGTGATTGCTGAGCTCCTTGGCCTCACTGTGTGTACGTATAAATCGCTTCTGATTGCATTTTGGTTTTGGTTTTGGTTTTTTTTAAGTCTATGCCTAACTGAAGACAATGAGAATTTTATCATTGATTTCAGCACAACTAAGACTTCAAACCCATCTCTCAAATGAAGAGATTTTTCTATGTTAGAAACTCCATAACTGACTAGTGAACCCTGGCCTACCAATATCTGGATTGCTAATTCAGAGGAACTCCATCTCCAAAAAGTCTACAAGTTTTGTTTGTTTGCTACCTCCAAGCTCGATTCTGCATGATGCCTCCAGGAAAAAGAGAAACAAACACTCTCTCGACAGAATGACATAAAATAAGCATGGGATTAAAGACACAGCAACAGTGGGCAGCACCATGACAGCAGAGGCTCTTCTGAGCTCTGCAGAAGTGCAGCCCAAACTTAGACAATATAAGCAGGTATTAGATGTAAAGTTAGAAACTCCAGTTTGGATATTTAAGGTCTAACTCTGACCCAAACTGATGTTTCACTTAAAAAGTGGCCGAAATCCTTAAAGCAGCAGTTTACCTGAATTTATTATTTTATTTAATGGTGTGCTTACCTTATTGACAGAGGACAGATAGATGTAGTTACTATCTACTGGATCAAGTCGAAGTTTGGGGAAAATGGAGGTTTCTTCCTTAATTTCGTATAAAACCTCTGGGCAATTAGTTTCCATATCCTCATCAAGAATAGCCTAAAACATATGAAATTAAATGATTCACAAGTCCTTTTATTTATCAGTCAACAATTCACACAAAAGCCTAATTTCAGCTACACCAGAGCTTCTGAAATGATTTATTGAGCCTTGATTCAATTCACCTACTGTACTGGCTCTCACACTGCAGAAAGGTGAAGGAAAAGACCACCAGAACAGAATTTCAACAAAATCCACGCCAGACACATTTTGCACTGAGTCTGGCACTGGTTTAGTGTATGAAACATCCCTCTCACCAAGAATGTTCGTGATTGACACAGAAACCGAATGTGGAAGAGACACCTATATCCGAAAGTCATAATATGTTAAGTAGTCCTACAAATGGAGAAGAAAGTATTAGCCTTCAGAAAACAAAATAACATCCAGACACTCATGCTGTAAAAAGGAACCTACCCAAGCTACTGACAACTTTCTTCAGGACTTGTGGCTTCTGTGAGTATACATCTGAGGTGGTATTTCTGTTTCTTACCTTGCCCAACTCTACAGCTTATCACCACCCTCCTCACAGAATTCAAAGAGAACCAGAGAAACTTTATTTTGCAAGTTAATAAGGACATCAACGTTGATATAAGGTTTTCCATAAACATGACTAAACAAGAGAGATATATTCATGATCTCCACTGCACTAAGGAGACACAGAAGACTTCAACTTCATTTTTCACTATCAAAAGCACAGTGAAATCAAATGGGCAAAAGCTTTTCAAGCTCTCTACTATATTCCTCCCCATCTGTCTGCTTAATAAAAACAAAAAATGAGAGTCATCCTTTGCAGCATAGACAGGAAATGCACATTCTTGCAAAACCCAGAAAAAAACTAAAGTATAAAAGACATTTGACTGGATGGTTGAAAAGTTTGATAATGAGATAAGAAGACTTTCACTTCCAAGCGATAGATTCAAGCTAGCGTAGGTCAACTATTTAGAAGCTAAGGCAAAATGGATCTTGACTTTTCTAACGGACAGCTATTCACATCACACAGATAGGCTAACAAACAAGTAAATACGCTCCCTTTCCATGTTCCCAAAATCTAACAATATTTAATATTTCTAACGAAAAATCAAAGCAAGGAAGGAAACAAAAGACAGAGTAACCGAGAACTCCACAGTCCATAAATTCATACTGTAGGCATTAGCAGTTTAATGAAATGTTTCCATGAATTTTAAGCAGGGTACATAATTGCTTTTTAAAGTTGTCTTGCTCTCCAAGTAACAATACAGCAGTTACTTCACAAACAAACAAAAACCAAATAGAGATGCAGGGGATTATATCTGTTTATAATACAGTGCCTAAACAAAGAAACATTTACCCCCTTGAACACAGCAGCAGTTGATGGAAAAGGGAACTGTCACATCCAGCTTACCTTCAGTAACTGTCCATCATCTGTTCCCAAAAAAAGAACTATCTGATTCAAAACAACTGTTCCATAAACAGCCACTAATCCAGAGTGAATCAAGGTAGGTAATTTCCTGATTGATGGTGCCTCCTGAAAATCAGACATAAGAGAAAGCTATTACTAAATAATTCACCTATACTGCAAAACATTAAGAAAAAGGAAGAGAAGAATTCCTGGAAAGATTCACAGATAACTTTAGACAATACTTTGGGTAACACTTTAATTCTGACACAACTTCAGAGCAACGTATCGTTGGAAATGGTCCACGAAATATGAAACTACTTTTTTATATATGGCAACTGGCCACATCTGTGACAAGAGATTACATCTACTGCAGCTAAATCATCGACCTCAGTAGGACACAGACTTGGCCTAACAGCAGCAAGTTACTCTGCAACAGAATTTCTCTTTTTTGGGACGTAATGCCCTGGGCTTATTCTGAATTGCCAGTTCTTCTCAGTGAAGCCACGCTTTGCCATCACCTGACTGCACCTACCATGAAGGCTACAGATACACTCAGCGCCCACTTTTAAAGGCATGCAAATATTCTGGAGAAAGGAAACACTTCAAGCACACATACTTTTTTTTTTTTTTTGTATGTTTCAGAAAATGTGGAGCTTCATCCTCCCCTTTCTGGTTTCCTGCTTTACACTAAAGGAAGTTGAGACTTGTGTAATAACGTAAATATAAAAATGAGATAAAGCAGCAGAAATTTCATGTCAGTGAGAATGCATGTGTGTGAACTTTAAAATCAACTTGTTACCTACAATTCTCCATCTAAGCTGGAGGAAGTTAAGTGACAAACACGTGTAAAGCAGCTCATGAAAGAAAACACCATGCAGGAAACCCCTGTATCTTGTGGAAGGAAAAACCAAACCAAGTAACCCAAACTGTAGACAATCAAGTGCTGAAAGGAAGCCCTGACGTGTGAGAATAAGGTCATTCACTAGGTGGGAGATGGTCTCTGCCCTAAACTCCCTACAAGCCCAGACACATCCCTAGCAAGCAGCACCTTAGTTTTGCAGTCCTGTAGTTGCTTTAAGTCAATTTCCATGACAGATGCTGTCCAAGGTGTGATCCCATCTCCTCTCCAAATGGGTCTAACTCCAGTCAAGCTCTACTTCCCCTTCCCCTCTATTAGTATAATGCTTTCCAGTGAGCTTGGTTAAGGAAATGATGTGCCTAGAAAATGGTCTGTAAATCCACTCATCCACCTACCAACCTACCTACCTAAATTTTCATTGGAGTCATTCTTCTCATCACATGAACATGTGGCTGCATGGATGCCAGTGCTGGCACAAAGGAGCAGCAAGCATGGGGAGATGAGTGGAAGAGCTCAGGTAGGACCACATCCTTGGAAACAAGCCCCACGGGTCAGCTTACAAAGCCCAGCATCTCAGCCTCAAGGATGAATTCCTAAAGCTACAGGAACCCTCTGAGTGCAAGTACCTATTTCGCTTTAATGCACAAGTCAAAGTGTGAGAATGGACCATTAAAACTGACATTTTGGAGAAAGGTGAAGGCATTTATCAAAGTTATGAAGCGAATCCATAACACAGTAACAGCTGAATTCAACTCTTGCATGCTAGGATACTGGCTTAACCCCAAAACTCTTTCCACATAGAAATAATTTTTTTCTGAACTGCAATCCTAAGTCAATTAAAATCTTTTTCAGTCATCTGAATTATTTTAATTAGCTTGCAAGAACAGCCACTTGGAGTAAAAGAAGACTTGATTAACTTTCATATTTAGTGATTTTTTTTTCTTGCAGCACGAACAAGACACAGGAACTGTCAAGTACTGGCACAGAACTTCAGTAAAACCCACTTAGGCATGAGACTCCAGTACCATGGAGGTCTGGTTTAGATACAAGGAGTAGGGA